ATTTCTTTACAGTACACTTGTAAGTATTGAATTAATGGGATAAAATTAAGGCATTTGCTCTATTGATATAGTATACAATGATTTTATTTACATGTTGCCGCATAACTTAAAGCTAGTCAGTGTGGCAAAATGTTTATCAGTTTGGAAGACGGCGTTAATAAACAGTGAGTGGCATTTCACAATACCAATATCTAATTTCTTTAAAAACTTTCAAAGAGTTAATATTTAGACAGTTGTTTCACCTTTATATTTGAGAGGTTGCAATTCCCTTTTAAGCCTATCAAAATCGTTATAATACTCATGATCAGATTCCTCTTCTGAACTTTTCTGAGGCACATAAGAAGATGGTCGCAACAATTGTGGTTGCTGAACATTTAACATTACATTGCAAGTTGAAACTCCATTTGATTGTACCACTTGAGATACAGTTGGAATCCCAATTGTTTGAGAAGGAGCATCATTGTTCATAAGATACTCAGGGTTATCTATATTTGTTTTACAAAACTCTGCACTATCACTAGCACTATTATCCGAATGTCTTACTGACTCTTCTATCAAGTCCACATAAGTGGAAGCACCTTGAGTCTGCTGAGGAGATGGCATAAGATAGTCGTCTTCGTCTACAGGAAGCTCGAGTTTAAGTGTACCCACTTGGGCTTGAGATCTACCCGAATCGTATTCATCTATATCAGTTTTACCATCGCTGCTACATTTTAAACTTGAACAATCAGATTCGTTGCCTAAACTTATCATTCTTGGATTAAGACCATGTTGCTGAGCATATCGAAGACGTTCCTGATTCCAGTTGTGTTGATTTTGAGGAGCACAACTACCATCAGAAGTTACAACAGATTGTGAAGGCCAAAGCTTCATACGTATTGATTGTGGTGAGTTTAAAAAAGAATCAAAGGAAACAGGTGCTCGAGATGAAGGTTGCAAGCATTCATCGCCTTCTGATTGGCTGCTGGAATGCTCCAAGGAAAATCCCAAATGTCTCACGTCTTTCTCATCCTAAAGGAAAAAATGTTTTATTTACTTAAAACGAACATTAAAAATAAAAAACAAAAATTCTATTGTTACTATTTTGTCAGTAAATTATTTTATTAGGTAGTATTGAAAGGTATATTTACTTGATTTTGGAAAGTTTTCAAATGTCTGTCACCAGGAATGACAAGAAATCGGCCTGGATCTCGGGTCATCTTCGTGAAATCTTCTGCTAGTTCCTTAAAACTCGGTCGACTTTCTGCATCCAACATCCAACACTTAATCATGATCATATATACATCAATTGTGCAAATCATAGGTTGGGGAAGCCGTTCACCTTTTTCTAATAACTCAGGAACATTTCTAGCTGGTACATTATCGTATGGTTTCCCACCAAAAGTTAATAATTCCCATACCGTAACGCCAAACGCCCAAACGTCCGATTTATGAGTAAAAATACGATGTTGAATACACTCCAAAGCTAGCCATTTTATTGGCATTTTACCCCCATCGGCTTTATACTCTTCTTCATTTATATCTAATAATTTCGCCAAACCAAAATCAGTAATTTTGACACATGCTGGCGTTTGTACCAGTACATTTCTAGCTGCAAGATCTCGATGCACCAGCCTTTTTTCTTCCAAATAGGCCATTCCTCTAGCTATTTGTGTGCACCAATTTAAAAGTAGTTTAGATCCAATTTTATTACTATTATTACGTACAAAATCTAATAAGCAACCTAGCGGCATTAGTTGCGTTACAAGCATCATTTGCGAAGTCATGCAAACGGCAAGAAGTTGTAATAAATTAGGGTGGTCTACCGTAGCCATTATATACGCTTCCTCCAAAAATTCCTTACTGCTATTTGCACCGGTATCATCACGTAAAATCTTAATTGCAACCGGAACCTTTGTTGTTTCTCCTTCAGGAATCCATACTCCCTTGTACACAGTTCCGAATGCTCCAAAGCCCAAAATTCCACCTCTTCTCATTTCTGCTTCTTTAATGATTCTTAGTTTAGCAAGATTAGGAGGGGCATTTGTGGGACGTAATGGTTCATTATCTTCCAAGCCTGTTAAAGCCATGGACATTTTAATGGCATTTTCTTTAACTTTCATTTCACTTCGATAATGGAATATAAACCATATAATAGCCCCAATGATACCACAGGCTACCACTGCAACAACAGTAATGATCATTGTTGTTGTCAAATTAGCCTCTAAAGCGCCTAAAACAATTTCAGAACAATATGCATCAGAATTATCTTGTGGGACGACTTTATGCGGATACTCAGATGAGCAATTCGGTGTGCATATAAAAGAAGCATTAAGCGATGGGTTTCCATCTGGATATATTTTTAAATTATAACAAGCGAGACAATTTTCTGGCCCGGGACCCTTACATCCTCTACATTCCTGATGACACGGAAGACAGTTTTGAGTAGTGTCATCGGCATAGTAATCAGAAAGGCATTCATCTTCGCACTGCTCGCCTTTTTTATAATTAGTACATTCTTGACATACAAGCTCATGAAATCCATAACCTGTACATTTTTTACACCTCGGGTGACATTTACGACAAATAGCTTTTCCAGAAAGTGGCCTGAGGAACTCCTGCTCTTGAGGTCTAACCCATTCAAAGAAGTACCCAGTAGGACATGGATCATTCTTATGCAAACATACGTCAACTGTAGCATTTTCGTTCATTACAGCCTTATCACATGAGTTACAAGCCCCAGGTCCAATAGTGTTCTTCGGTCCAGTGCACCCATCAACACAATTTGGATGACACAATTTACATTCTCCATTATCCTCGTATTTGGTAATAGGGCATTTTGAAACACAGTATGGACCATCCCTAAAATGCTTGCACGTTGTACAGTGTTCGGGACCTGGGCCAGAGCAGGAACTTTCACATTGTTCATTACAGTATTCACAAACTTCAGAACTGGCTTGATAAATTCTGAAACAAAAAATTATTGCAATTAAAATTTAATAAATGGTAATGTAAAAACAAATAAAATACCTTGGCATAATGCTGCAGTTTTGCAAACAAGTGCTTCCTAAGCTGAAGTGTGCACAAGATAAACATTGATCTGGTCCAGGGCCCCAACATCCATCGTTACTACATTGTTCATCACATACTAATCCACTTGCTGCACATTTTTTCAAATCTTTGTTGTTTTGAAGAAATGCCATATGTTCGGAGCTTTTAATTATTTTACGCCAATTAATTCCATCAGCAAAGCATAAATGTTTATTTTCCAAAATAACGACCGTGCCAGAATTAATTTTCTTTAGTGATTTTAGTTCAAGGGATTCCAATGAAGTTTTAACAATATACAGGGAAGAAAAGTAATCGTGAACAGTTCTACCTCCAATTATCTCTAGATTTCGAAAGTATGAAAGATTTTTAAAGTCTGGATGATAGGCTTGAATATTTAGAAAACCTGTGATTTCTTTTAAAGTGCTGAAAACCTCTAAGCGGTTCGGATGCATGGGTGGGTAGCGTTCCCCAAAAGTTGAATTAGAATAAACATGTTGATAACCAGTAAAACTGTTCTCTAAAATGTGTATATAACCTTCAATTACTGTACAATCTTTAAAATCATCGATGTTTGCTGCATTAATCGGTACATCGCCATGACAAGTTTTTGGACAGGGACCATTACAAGGTATACATTCCCCGTTTACCGCTTTCTTACTTAGTGGACACGATTTCACACACGCACCGTTGTCCTTGAGAAGATGTTCTGGACAATTTTTAACGCATGTTGCTCCATATGCATATTTTCCACTTGGATTTGGTTCCCAAGAATAGGTGATGGGATTGTATATTTGCATTGGTGGACATTCTTGTGTACAAACCCCATCGTCATAGAAATTTTTGCACGCAATACAATCGCTTTGTTTTGGACCCGTACAACCACCCGCACAAAACAGATGACAACATTCTCTAGGATTTGAACCAAAACATCGACCCTGATAACATTGAGGACTACATGTAACCTTGGAAAACTTCTGACAGTTTTCCTCGCCTTCACCCCAGCATCCATGCTCACAACTTTTGTGACACGGAGGGCACTCTCTTTCAGGTGAAACGAAGTTGTACCGATATACATAATGACCTTTTGGATCAGAAATTATTTCATCCCAGTTTATTGTCTTGACGTGACAAAGATTGTAGTTACTAAAAAGGCCCACGCTGCCACTTAGTACATCACGTAGTGCGGGAAGCTCGAGCGAATACATCTTTGATGTTGTAACGATTATAGCAAATTCCTCAGTGTAACTGGTCATTTTGAATAAAGTTCGTCCGCGGATTATTTGTAGACGTGGTAACACGACTCGCCTTAAATCAACATGCGAAATGAGAACGTAGCCCGTCACTTCTCGGATGTATTGTAAAAAACTGAGATCGAAGTTTTCGTCTTGTAACCAGGTGAGTTCCAAATTGCCGTCCACGTAAGTACAATTCGTATAGCGATTCTTCAGGTTCCTGTAGTGATGCTCCCTGTTTGACGGAACTGACCAACGTCCGTTTGTACCAATGCATACTGAAACAAAAAAACTCAGTTATTACAGAAGAATTTTTTAAAACCCGTATTACAAAAAAAAAATACCACTTGTTTCTATATCTACTGATTGAAAAATACACTGTTAAATTAACAATTTTTTTCCGAACAGTAAATAATTTGAAAATTAAGGAACCATAGTACCATTCGAAAGAGAAAAAAAATTCTGCATTAATCTATGACAAATCTGTCATTAATTCACTTTGAAAGTATAGGCAGGAAGCTTGAAAGTATAGCTATCTCTCCTAAAGAATTGTTGCTCCAGCTTTTTTACTGTAAAATAGACATGCTTTCTCGCTACCTACTGTTGTGCTACTTTTTTGAAATAAATATCTCGAAAACAGTAAATTTTAGAAGCAGGAAAGCCTTATGAAAGTCCAAGTAGAATTCAAAACCGTCATATTATATAAAGTGTTCCATTTAAAATAATGAAGTTGATGCCAACTTCCGATATAACGGGGGGTGCTACATAGATGCAATTATTTTAATTGGGGAGAACATACCTAATAACGCCATTGTACAAATTATAAATCCAAGTAGTTTTCTAAATATTTTAATGGGTGATCACAGTGAGACACTCTGTATGTATTTAGCGAAGCGAATAATGATTATATGTTTGTGCAGGCTCTGTAACTTTCGAAAATCAGTCAAAAGAATAAAATTGATTTGTATCATTTTAACTTACTTCATTCTAGGTATATGCAATGAAACTTCGATTTTACACAATAAGGCCTTTATGAAACCACAAAAAATTAAACCTTTATGAACTTCTATCAACATGTGTTTCAACTTATTGGTAATTTTTAAAATTGTTTTTTATTTAGTCAACAATGTCTATGTGATCAAAATTTTCTAGTAACATATACGAGTACTAATGTTAAAAAAATAAAAACCTTTAAAAACATAGTATGTATTATATGTTATACATGAGAGACATCATGATTTAATAGCGCGAAGAAACATAATATTTATTTTACAGTTTCAGCAACACGATGCTTTTCCAAGATATTTCTAGATTTACCTGATCGTAAATATTTGTCTTTCTTATCAGTTGAGTTGGCCTGACGAGTATTTATTCTGAGCCTAATTCTTTGATGGCACTTATACCTATCTATTTATTATTTAGTACGTATACATACAGAATACTTTACCGATCTAGGTTTATATCTACCAAATTCTTACATTTAAATAACTAATTTTGTTCACAAAAATATGTTGAGTTATACTTCACTTGATAATTAAATACCTGCATATTATTTTGTCAAAACACGTAGTATATAGTAACGGTGAACTGGAAAGCATTTTTTGCTTGCGGTGAAAACCGTTAAATTTCGGCGCGTGTTCTAAAGAAATAACCAATTATGAACAAGGGCAAGGAACTCAAAATATTCAAAATAAAACAATGTTGTAGGTTGTAGTTTCGATATAGAAATGAAAAGCGTTACACCATCACGTAATACTTAGCAACCGGTCCTCCCACGTATCTAGGTACAAGACACTTCAAATATAGCTGCATTATCAGTTACCTATCTCATGTGTCGCGATACACACTTTTAGAACGGACAAAAATTATGTATTGATCTTTGTTATTATGTACTTATTATCTGCATTATAGGTTATCAAACAAACCTTTCAATTTTTGTATTATTAACATTTAAATACCCAAAATAGTTGTAAACAGTTGTTTATCTCATACTTTCACCACGATTTGTTCGGTAAATCTTACAGGTTTTCCTCAAGGACATGGTAAATGTTAAAAAAAAAATCATTTTTTTAATACAAATTCGTAATTGGTTACACCCTGAAATGGAAATAATTTATGTTATACATAATACATTAAAAACACAATGTGGTAAAGGTTGGCTTAAGTTTACATCCCAAGAGTTACTAACATTAGTTACAATAATTAAAAAATTTTAGAACTGATAGAAATTAAGCAGATTTTTCAGGAGTTAACTATTTAAATTAAGCACAAGTAAGAATTTCCGAAGACGACTGATAAAACTTAATTTTAAGTGTACAACTTTGTATTATAAAAGAAAGGTATTGATTATCAAGAATAGATCAAAACAGTAAAGGAAACAAAAACGTATTCAAAATTCAACCATTGTAAGGTCTAGATATTTGTTATCAAAGGAAAGTATTCCAAAAAAGAAATTGTAAAAGCGACTGTGGTAAATAGGTAAATAGAATAATGCCAAAGGATCTCGCCCCCTACACACACTTTTTTTAAAAACAAAGGTACGATTTAACTTAAAACTATAACGAAAACTATTTGTACCATAACTATGAAATACTTTTCCCGACAAGAGTGTTACAACAGCAACAAATTTTTCCCTCATTAACTTGAGGTAGTTTGTAGTGGGATTGAAATTGAAGGTGAATTTTTATATTTAATGGGTGATCACAGTGAGACACTCTGTATGTATTTAGCGAAGCGAATAATGATTATATGTTTGTGCAGGCTCTGTAACTTTCGAAAATCAGTCAAAAGAATAAAATTGATTTGTATCATTTTAACTTACTTCNTTAATTTAAAAGTTATTTATAAAATTAATATTTTCCTCAGAGCTGAAGAAGTGATGACGCTAAGATCTGACAAACATCCTTGCGTAACCCTTGCTCTAATAGCTTCCATGCCAAAAGTCTTCGAGGCAGTTCAAGATAAATGTATAACGAAAGCCAACTGCAAAAAGGACTCCAAGTCATTTTATGTAAGCACTGCAAAACAGAATGAAGAATAAGAAAACTGATCCTGTTTTGTTTTTTTTAGATTACCTACAGCTTCTCCTGTTTCGAATGTCCTCAATTTTACGCTGATATGGATGGAAAAACTGGAGAAGCAGTGAATATATCACAGCCAATACCCCTCCCTGCCCTAAATGTAAACTGTAAATAATTTATTTCACCTTGTATCCACAATTCATTCCTTTTCGTAGGCGATGGTGTCACATGGAAGAGTAGAACTTTTAGCTCACCCACTGAGTCAAAAATATCTTCAAATGAAATGGAATTCGTATGGAAAGTACTTTCATTTGGCAAATTTACTTTTCTACAGTATTTTCTTGGTTTTTGTTACTCTCTTATCTTCTCAACTTATGGAAAATGATGATGATGAGGATTTGCAACACTACAAGCCAGTAGAAAACGAAAGGTTGTATGTTTATACCGGTCAAAATGAAAACAAAACAGATTTAACCTATGAGGTATTAGCTACAATAATCATAAAAATTAAATATTTTATACCCAAACGTTCTATTTTAAGGAATATTGGGAAAAAACGAAAAATGCCATACTACACGTTAAAACAACACCTTTTATGTACACTGGAGCAGTTGTAATCACTGTTTATCTGATGGTAAACACTATTCGCGAAGTAATTCAAATTTACCAACAAAAATATAATTACTTTCTGGATCCAACGAATTTAGTTTCGTGGATGCTTTATATCTCTGCTACAATTACAGTAATTCCACTGTCCAGTAGCAGTGTGACTGAACTTCAATTTTCCTGCGCCTCTTTGACTGTTTTCCTAAGTTGGTTTAACTTATTGTTGCTGCTACAACGTTTTGATCAAGTTGGAATTTATGTGGTCATGTTCTTGGAAATATTGCAAACACTGATAAAAGTTTTACTTGTTTTCTCCATATTGATAATAGCCTTTGGACTCGCGTTTTATATCTTAATGTCTAAGGTAAGTTATAACTGGAACAATTTTTCTATCTATATTCAAATTTGGTAGCTATTCTTATCATTTTTATTTAATGTAGGTAGGCTAGGTGAATTAACTAAAAAATTGCTATTTTTTAACTAGACATGATTTTTTCATGTAAATTAGTAAAAAATTACGTACATTATGTTAATTTTGTGCGCACGCTCACAAGTGTAAAGAATATTATAATTTAACGTCGTTTTTTCGATGTTTTTCTTCGTTTTCTTCTATAATTTGTTTTCAAATGAATTAGTAGAAGAAGACTTAAATGAGAAAATTGCTTAAAATCACTTTTTCGATAAGGGTGAGGCGGTCTGAAAATTAATTTGTTTTTAAATACAAATGCCAATTTGGTAACATTACGAAATGAATATTTTTTTATAAAGAAATTAATTGTTGCTCACCTATTTATTCGATCGGAATAAAATTGTAGGAGGATTAATAACCATAACAAAGACTTCTTTTTCCAAATCTTCAATGTAATAGCAGCTGTATTTCTATCATAAAAGTGGACACGAAAGAAATAGCTTATTCTCCCTAAATCTTCCTTTATTGAAGAAAATTTATCACTTTGAAAAATAGGACCTGCACACCCCTATCAAAAAATAGCTTTAAATTCTGCGTTGATAAAACCTTACAAAACGCTAAACGTCGAAGTTGGTTTGTCATTTAAACTAGCCTTTGTCTCTATTCTGTGATTCCATTTTGCAAACATGTACATATCATATGTATTTATTGTATACTGTAGGCAGGTATGTGTATGTGTTTTTGATGTTGGTCAATTTTTAAAGAGAGTGATTTCGAGTTCAGGCAAATCTTAGTTTTTGAGTGAAGTGTTTCTGAACATTTATTTTTAAACGGTGATCGATAGGTCTTCTAGTGTAGAAAGGAAATCCTAAAGTCCCAAAGCAATCGCAAGTCAGGTAGAGTCGCCACTTTGAAAAACATGGTCGCTGGCGCTTAATTCAATTTCTACGATTATAGAAAATCGCAACATAACGACAGAAAAAAGAATACTTAAAATTACAATAAACAGTAAAAAGCAGAAAATAGACACAAATCTGACTATTATTATTACATCTCCTTACAGAAAATTAAATAACTACTTCGATACACACGCATATTTACGGTTGGGCACATCACACTACACCGTCCGATTTAAAAAATTTCATAATTTATCAAAAAACGGATCTGACCTCAATATATATACTGGTTCAGAGCACATCTTGTAGGCGATAGAACAGCCAAATCGAATAACTTTTTGTTTAGCAATGTAAATATTACACAGGGTGTAACAGAAGTAAGTAAGAGCACTATAAAACATAAAAATTAAGTAGATGTTTGTTTCGGAAAGTTTACCGTTTTCGATAAAAACGTGGTTGAAAGTACAGGTAAACTCAGTTTCGGCCCTGGGAAAGAATAACGACCACTACGCCACACTCAATCAGCTGGTAATTACCAGTATCAGTGTAGTGCTTGTTTTGTATTTTTTTCCAGTATTGTTTATTTATTAAATTAGATTAAATGTGATTCAGGCTGTGTATTGTATTTATTGAAAATTATTACAGTACCTAAGCATTTCATGATTTTGTATTCATAACTTTGAGGTATTACTATTTTAATTCGATTTAGCGTTATTAACATTAAATAGCAAATTCTATAAAATATCTGTTGCTGAAATGTTTTCCAAGGATATTGTTTTATTACGAAAAGCACTTGTATAAAATTCGTCAATGCAGTATTGTTAACATCACGGGTTTTCAACAGTGAGATAGTTAAAGCTTAATGAATCAAAAAAAGTGCCCCGAGAGCTACAGTTACTCTTGCATATATTGTTGACTACAAATCTTCTAATCCTGATCCTGGCATAATGAAACCAACGACGCCCGTAAATGACATAATTAAATCGAACCCTTCCAGCCCCATAATAATAGGCAAATATTTTTCACAAAAGAATTCAGAAGGTTTATGAAATAATGGTTGACCGAAAGTCACTAACCAGCTTGTTTAGTTGGTTTTTCTCGTTTCTGATAATGCAAATTCGAGAGACGGTTGAAAGGTCATTAGGATTTAAGTTAATAAACGAAAGCGCCACAATTTTGCTTTGATCAAAAGACTTTGTTCCATGCATAATTAACGACATGAACTCATTCCAGTTTGGGATTGAAACATTACCGACCCGGTACTCAGAACAGCTAAGGTGGTCCATTTTAGGTAATTTCATTAAAGTACAACTTTCCCTGTCTTACCTAGTTTATTAGTTACATCAGTTCGCCTAAATTATGATTAATATACAAATCAGTTGTAACAGTAAAATAGAACAGTTGATCCAGGATAAAACGTTATACCTTGGCGCAAAGCTAATAACCTACCTATAATCAGAATTTAAACAACAATCATTTTATAAAGTTTACCTACTGATTTGAAAGTTATTTTTGTTTATTATACTCGATACATTAATTAAAAATAGGTTTTATAGTTAAATTTAAATATAAGGTACTAAAATTTAAATATAAGGTACTAAAGAACTTAATTAAACACCTGAAGTACCAAGTGATCTCTCTTTTAAGGTTTTTCCTACCTTTATAGATTCTCTATTCCATGCTTAAAGACTATGTATACATATATTATGATTATTTAAGTATTTTTGTATAACAGGGCGAACACTTATCGTTTAAGACAGTTCCAATGTCCCTTATTAGGACATTTTCCATGATGTTAGGAGAAATAGATTTTTTGGGCACATATGTACAACCATACTACTTAAAAGAAGAACAAAGGTACTTGCCGTTTCCCATGCCAGCTTTCTTTATACTGTGTGTATTTATGGTACTAATGCCCATTCTATTAATGAACTTGCTTATCGGTTTGGCGGTTGGTGATATCGAATCCGTTCGGAGAAATGCTCAATTGAAACGACTGGCGATGCAAGTAAGACTTTTTTGAATTTCTAAGTCATTACGTTTGTGTAATTGTTATTTACTATTCTGATTGTTTTTATAGGTTGTAATGCATACAGAACTTGAACGAAAACTTCCCAAAATATTATTGGAAAGAATTGATAAAAGAGAATTGGTCGAGTTTCCTAACGAAAGCAAATGTAAACTTGGTTTTCTGGATTGTATAATTAGAAAGTGGTTTGGAAATCCTTTTTCCGATGACGGTAAACTATTAGAAGTGTTTTTGTATGGCATGTAAATGTTGGTGTTTGTTTAGAAATTTCTTGCTATCTATTTTTTGTTCATTTTCATATTATTTTCGTTATGAGGCCATGTAGCCCATTCTATTTTCAGGAACAAAACGAAGATACAAAGGGCTACCAGCCATCCGATGGCGACAATGCGGTAGGACTTCCTTTACTGCTTTTCTGCTTAAAGCTCTTATATGAAGTATTTATAAATTACATTTGCATGTCCTTTTTTAATCATTATCTATTTACATTTTTGGTCTATAATCCAAGGATTTCTTCGAATAGGTATATATATGACTCATTAAAATGAGAATTTTAAATTACTTTACCAAAAAATTATTAAAAAGAGGGCAACTACATTTAGTTAGAAAAGCTTGGTGTAGCAAATTGTGTATAAACAGCAGCTTTTTTGATAAAATTAAATACAACACTGTACAAAATACAGAGTTACATGCTTCACTATTGGTATGGAGTCAAATTATTATTTCAGGGCTGGACATGGTTATGGAAAGTGGTGAAGACTATTTAATGTCAGAGCTTGAGAAAACCAAAAGAAAGCTCAGAGATATATCGTCATTATTAGAAACACAGCAACAATTACTTCGCCTAATTGTACAAGTTAGTATATTAATCATAATTGCAGTGGTAACAAGTCTCAATTGCTGTTTTTTGTTTGTTAAGAAAATGGAAATTAAGACTGAGGCAGATGATGTAGACGAAGGTGTTTCTCCCAATGATCTCAAACCATTAATAACAACTTCTAGTAAATGGACATCACCAAAAATACGTAAAAAACTACAGTCCGCTTTAAGCTTTACAAAAGGAAATAGTAATTAGATCAAAAAAGTGAGCATTGAGAAAGATTTTTTTTGCTAACAGCATTTAATTAGTATTGCTATCTTTTTAAGTAATTTGCTGTAGTCAGTGAACTAGTCATTTTTCCTTGTTAATTCTTAAGTAAAATGTGAACTGATCGTCATAAAACATAAAATACTGAGTACTATAAAACTAATTGTTTTATAAGTAAGTAAAATATTTGTTGTAAAAGTGAATTTATGGAATGTGTGCTATTAAAAGTCTTCTAAATACAATATTACCGTATATACAACTGATTTTGTAGTCATAAATTTCTGAAAAGAAATGACAAAAGAAATCTTACACAATTTTATTAAAATACTTTTGTCTGTACATTATCATTTTCTCTTACAAGGCACAAGAGTTCACCAAATATGTGCGTTTTAGTTTTAGTCTAATGGCACTAGAAGATATTTTAGAAATATTTTTATAACATAGTAACAAAAATACTTACAAGTTGCTTCACCATATGTTTACAAATAATTCGTCAGATTTTAAACGCCAGGATTGTCTTTTTCATATTTTGATTTAAAAGTACAGTATATATATATAAATATAACATAAATTGGTCTTATGTATTGTTACTGAATAGAAGATACACAAAAAAACAAGGTGAAATAACTTGTAAAATAGTAAGGCACCTTGTACTTGTAATTAAAAATAAATATTAGAAAAAGTAAGTCAAAAATACAAAAACATAAACAGGAAATTTAATAATTTTTTTTTGGATAGGTACGCATTGTACAAAATATTATAATTCGAGAAATACACAAGATCAACAGAGAAAGTTTTAAAAACATAACAATAAAATTACTTTTTGTTAAAACTAGTATCACAGTCATAAAAGGGCAAGAACATTCTTCAAGCACTTTCGAATAGTTTACTTATTCTCGCAAGAAAAGTATAGTTAAGGTTAAAAAACCCTGAATTAGCCAATTCTAATTTTATATATGAACACTATTTAAAAACGACAAAATGGGAAAGTAAAAAAGTAAAAACCCTTTAAATGTACAGAATGACTTATAAACAATAGTAAAACTATTTACATTAACTTTTGATTTTGAATATGCCATTTACATACACTAAGTATGTATTCACATGTGATGGCACAATATTATTGTCTAGCGTCCCACGCATATGATTTTAATTCTACATTTTTTCACTCACCTTCTACCTACCTACTTATCATTTATAAAATGCATCATATCATTATCTTATTGCTATTTAAGTAAAACCAGTCACTTCCAATATTTCTTTACAGTACACTTGTAAGTATTGAATTAATGGGATAAAATTAAGGCATTTGCTCTATTGATATAGTATACAATGATTTTATTTACATGTTGCCGCATAACTTAAAGCTAGTCAGTGTGGCAAAATGTTTATCAGTTTGGAAGACGGCGTTAATAAACAGTGAGTGGCATTTCACAATACCAATATCTAATTTCTTTAAAAACTTTCAAAGAGTTAATATTTAGACAGTTGTTTCACCTTTATATTTGAGAGGTTGCAATTCCCTTTTAAGCCTATCAAAATCGTTATAATACTCATGATCAGATTCCTCTTCTGAACTTTTCTGAGGCACATAAGAAGATGGTCGCAACAATTGTGGTTGCTGAACATTTAACATTACATTGCAAGTTGAAACTCCATTTGATTGTACCACTTGAGATACAGTTGGAATCCCAATTGTTTGAGAAGGAGCATCATTGTTCATAAGATACTCAGGGTTATCTATATTTGTTTTACAAAACTCTGCACTATCACTAGCACTATTATCCGAATGTCTTACTGACTCTTCTATCAAGTCCACATAAGTGGAAGCACCTTGAGTCTGCTGAGGAGATGGCATAAGATAGTCGTCTTCGTCTACAGGAAGCTCGAGTTTAAGTGTACCCACTTGGGCTTGAGATCTACCCGAATCGTATTCATCTATATCAGTTTTACCATCGCTGCTACATTTTAAACTTGAACAATCAGATTCGTTGCCTAAACTTATCATTCTTGGATTAAGACCATGTTGCTGAGCATATCGAAGACGTTCCTGATTCCAGTTGTGTTGATTTTGAGGAGCACAACTACCATCAGAAGTTACAACAGATTGTGAAGGCCAAAGCTTCATACGTATTGATTGTGGTGAGTTTAAAAAAGAATCAAAGGAAACAGGTGCTCGAGATGAAGGTTGCAAGCATTCATCGCCTTCTGATTGGCTGCTGGAATGCTCCAAGGAAAATCCCAAATGTCTCACGTCTTTCTCATCCTAAAGGAAAAAATGTTTTATTTACTTAAAACGAACATCAAAAATAAAAAACAAAAATTCTATTGTTACTATTTTGTCAGTAAATTATTTTATTAGGTAGTATTGAAAGGTATATTTACTTGATTTTGGAAAGTTTTCAAATGTCTGTCACCAGGAATGACAAGAAATCGGCCTGGATCTCGGGTCATCTTCGTGAAATCTTCTGCTAGTTCCTTAAAACTCGGTCGACTTTCTGCATCCAACATCCAACACTTAATCATGATCATATATACATCAATTGTGCAAATCATAGGTTGGGGAAGCCGTTCACCTTTTTCTAATAACTCAGGAACATTTCTAGCTGGTACATTATCGTATGGTTTCCCACCAAAAGTTAATAATTCCCATACCGTAACGCCAAACGCCCAAACGTCCGATTTATGAGTAAAAATACGATGTTGAATACACTCCAAAGCTAGCCATTTTATTGGCATTTTACCCCCATCGGCTTTATACTCTTCTTCATTTATATCTAATAATTTCGCCAAACCAAAATCAGTAATTTTGACACATGCTGGCGTTTGTACCAGTACATTTCTAGCTGCAAGATCTCGATGCACCAGCCTTTTTTCTTCCAAATAGGCCATTCCTCTAGCTATTTGTGTGCACCAATTTAAAAGTAGTTTAGATCCAATTTTATTACTATTATTACGTACAAAATCTAATAAGCAACCTAGCGGCATTAGTTGCGTTACAAGCATCATTTGCGAAGTCATGCAAACGGCAAGAAGTTGTAATAAATTAGGGTGGTCTACCGTAGCCATTATATACGCTTCCTCCAAAAATTCCTTACTGCTATTTGCACCGGTATCATCACGTAAAATCTTAATTGCAACCGGAACCTTTGTTGTTTCTCCTTCAGGAATCCATACTCCCTTGTACACAGTTCCGAATGCTCCAAAGCCCAAAATTCCACCTCTTCTCATTTCTGCTTCTTTAATGATTCTTAGTTTAGCAAGATTAGGAGGGGCATTTGTGGGACGTAATGGTTCATTATCTTCCAAGCCTGTTAAAGCCATGGACATTTTAATGGCATTTTCTTTAACTTTCATTTCACTTCGATAATGGAATATAAACCATATAATAGCCCCAATGATACCACAGGCTACCACTGCAACAACAGTAATGATCATTGTTGTTGTCAAATTAGCCTCTAAAGCGCCTAAAACAATTTCAGAACAATATGCATCAGAATTATCTTGTGGGACGACTTTATGCGGATACTCAGATGAGCAATTCGGTGTGCATATAAAAGAAGCATTAAGCGATGGGTTTCCATCTGGATATATTTTTAAATTATAACAAGCGAGACAATTTTCTGGCCCGGGACCCTTACATCCTCTACATTCCTGATGACACGGAAGACAGTTTTGAGTAGTGTCATCGGCATAGTAATCAGAAAGGCATTCATCTTCGCACTGCTCGCCTTTTTTATAATTAGTACATTCTTGACATACAAGCTCATGAAATCCATAACCTGTACATTTTTTACACCTCGGGTGACATTTACGACAAATAGCTTTTCCAGAAAGTGGCCTGAGGAACTCCTGCTCTTGAGGTCTAACCCATTCAAAGAAGTACCCAGTAGGACATGGATCATTCTTATGCAAACATACGTCAACTGTAGCATTTTCGTTCATTACAGCCTTATCACATGAGTTACAAGCCCCAGGTCCAATAGTGTTCTTCGGTCCAGTGCACCCATCAACACAATTTGGATGACACAATTTACATTCTCCATTATCCTCGTATTTGGTAATAGGGCATTTTGAAACACAGTATGGACCATCCCTAAAATGCTTGCACGTTGTACAGTGTTCGGGACCTGGGCCAGAGCAGGAACTTTCACATTGTTCATTACAGTATTCACAAACTTCAGAACTGGCTTGATAAATTCTGAAACAAAAAATTATTGCAATTAAAATTTAATAAATGGTAATGTAAAAACAAATAAAATACCTTGGCATAATGCTGCAGTTTTGCAAACAAGTGCTTCCTAAGCTGAAGTGTGCACAAGATAAACATTGATCTGGTCCAGGGCCCCAACATCCATCGTTACTACATTGTTCATCACATACTAATCCACTTGCTGCACATTTTTTCAAATCTTTGTTGTTTTGAAGAAATGCCATATGTTCGGAGCTTTTAATTATTTTACGCCAATTAATTCCATCAGCAAAGCATAAATGTTTATTTTCCAAAATAACGACCGTGCCAGAATTAATTTTCTTTAGTGATTTTAGTTCAAGGGATTCCAATGAAGTTTTAACAATATACAGGGAAGAAAAGTAATCGTGAACAGTTCTACCTCCAATTATCTCTAGATTTCGAAAGTATGAAAGATTTTTAAAGTCTGGATGATAGGCTTGAATATTTAGAAAACCTGTGATTTCTTTTAAAGTGCTGAAAACCTCTAAGCGGTTCGGATGCATGGGTGGGTAGCGTTCCCCAAAAGTTGAATTAGAATAAACATGTTGATAACCAGTAAAACTGTTCTCTAAAATGTGTATATAACCTTCAATTACTGTACAATCTTTAAAATCATCGATGTTTGCTGCATTAATCGGTACATCGCCATGACAAGTTTTTGGACAGGGACCATTACAAGGTATACATTCCCCGTTTACCGCTTTCTTACTTAGTGGACACGATTTCACACACGCACCGTTGTCCTTGAGAAGATGTTCTGGACAATTTTTAACGCATGTTGCTCCATATGCATATTTTCCACTTGGATTTGGTTCCCAAGAATAGGTGATGGGATTGTATATTTGCATTGGTGGACATTCTTGTGTACAAACCCCATCGTCATAGAAATTTTTGCACGCAATACAATCGCTTTGTTTTGGACCCGTACAACCACCCGCACAAAACAGATGACAACATTCTCTAGGATTTGAACCAAAACATCGACCCTGATAACATTGAGGACTACATGTAACCTTGGAAAACTTCTGACAGTTTTCCTCGCCTTCACCCCAGCATCCATGCTCACAACTTTTGTGACACGGAGGGCACTCTCTTTCAGGTGAAACGAAGTTGTACCGATATACATAATGACCTTTTGGATCAGAAATTATTTCATCCCAGTTTATTGTCTTGACGTGACAAAGATTGTAGTTACTAAAAAGGCCCACGCTGCCACTTAGTACATCACGTAGTGCGGGAAGCTCGAGCGAATACATCTTTGATGTTGTAACGATTATAGCAAATTCCTCAGTGTAACTGGTCATTTTGAATAAAGTTCGTCCGCGGATTATTTGTAGACGTGGTAACACGACTCGCCTTAAATCAACATGCGAAATGAGAACGTAGCCCGTCACTTCTCGGATGTATTGTAAAAAACTGAGATCGAAGTTTTCGTCTTGTAACCAGGTGAGTTCCAAATTGCCGTCCACGTAAGTACAATTCGTATAGCGATTCTTCAGGTTCCTGTAGTGATGCTCCCTGTTTGACGGAACTGACCAACGTCCGTTTGTACCAATGCATACTGAAACAAAAAAACTCAGTTATTACAGAAGAATTTTTTAAAACCCGTATTACAAAAAAAAAATACCACTTGTTTCTATATCTACTGATTGAAAAATACACTGTTAAATTAACAATTTTTTTCCGAACAGTAAATAATTTGAAAATTAAGGAACCATAGTACCATTCGAAAGAGAAAAAAAATTCTGCATTAATCTATGACAAATCTGTCATTAATTCACTTTGAAAGTATAGGCAGGAAGCTTGAAAGTATAGCTATCTCTCCTAAAGAATTGTTGCTCCAGCTTTTTTACTGTAAAATAGACATGCTTTCTCGCTACCTCCTGTTGTGCTACTTTTTTGAAATAAATATCTCGAAAACAGTAAATTTTAGAAGCAGGAAAGCCTTATGAAAGTCCAAGTAGAATTCAAAACCGTCATATTATATAAAGTGTTCCATTTAAAATAATGAAGTTGATGCCAACTTCCGATATAACGGGGGGTGCTACATAGATGCAATTATTTTAATTGGGGAGAACATACCTAATAACGCCATTGTACAAATTATAAATCCAAGTAGTTTTCTAAATATTTTAATGGGTGATCACAGTGAGACACTCTGTATGTATTTAGCGAAGCGAATAATGATTATATGTTTGTGCAGGCTCTGTAACTTTCGAAAATCAGTCAAAAGAATAAAATTGATTTGTATCATTTTAACTTACTTCATTCTAGGTATATGCAATGAAACTTCGATTTTACACAATAAGGCCTTTATGAAACCACAAAAAATTAAACCTTTATGAACTTCTATCAACATGTGTTTCAACTTATTGGTAATTTTTAAAATTGTTTTTTATTTAGTCAACAATGTCTATGTGATCAAAATTTTCTAGTAACATATACGAGTACTAATGTTAAAAAAATAAAAACCTTTAAAAACATAGTATGTATTATATGTTATACATGAGAGACATCATGATTTAATAGCGCGAAGAAACATAATATTTATTTTACAGTTTCAGCAACACGATGCTTTTCCAAGATATTTCTAGATTTACCTGATCGTAAATATTTGTCTTTCTTATCAGTTGAGTTGGCCTGACGAGTATTTATTCTGAGCCTAATTCTTTGATGGCACTTATACCTATCTATTTATTATTTAGTACGTATACATACAGAATACTTTACCGATCTAGGTTTATATCTACCAAATTCTTACATTTAAATAACTAATTTTGTTCACAAAAATATGTTGAGTTATACTTCACTTGATAATTAAATACCTGCATATTATTTTGTCAAAACACGTAGTATATAGTAACGGTGAACTGGAAAGCATTTTTTGCTTGCGGTGAAAACCGTTAAATTTCGGCGCGTGTTCTAAAGAAATAACCAATTATGAACAAGGGCAAGGAACTCAAAATATTCAAAATAAAACAATGTTGTAGGTTGTAGTTTCGATATAGAAATGAAAAGCGTTACACCATCACGTAATACTTAGCAACCGGTCCTCCCACGTATCTAGGTACAAGACACTTCAAATATAGCTGCATTATCAGTTACCTATCTCATGTGTCGCGATACACACTTTTAGAACGGACAAAAATTATGTATTGATCTTTGTTATTATGTACTTATTATCTGCATTATAGGTTATCAAACAAACCTTTCAATTTTTGTATTATTAACATTTAAATACCCAAAATAGTTGTAAACAGTTGTTTATCTCATACTTTCACCACGATTTGTTCGGTAAATCTTACAGGTTTTCCTCAAGGACATGGTAAATGTTAAAAAAAAAATCATTTTTTTAATACAAATTCGTAATTGGTTACACCCTGAAATGGAAATAATTTATGTTATACATAATACATTAAAAACACAATGTGGTAAAGGTTGGCTTAAGTTTACATCCCAAGAGTTACTAACATTAGTTACAATAATTAAAAAATTTTAGAACTGATAGAAATTAAGCAGATTTTTCAGGAGTTAACTATTTAAATTAAGCACAAGTAAGAATTTCCGAAGACGACTGATAAAACTTAATTTTAAGTGTACAACTTTGTATTATAAAAGAAAGGTATTGATTATCAAGAATAGATCAAAACAGTAAAGGAAACAAAAACGTATTCAAAATTCAACCATTGTAAGGTCTAGATATTTGTTATCAAAGGAAAGTATTCCAAAAAAGAAATTGTAAAAGCGACTGTGGTAAATAGGTAAATAGAATAATGCCAAAGGATCTCGCCCCCTACACACACTTTTTTTAAAAACAAAGGTACGATTTAACTTAAAACTATAACGAAAACTATTTGTACCATAACTATGAAATACTTTTCCCGACAAGAGTGTTACAACAGCAACAAATTTTTCCCTCATTAACTTGAGGTAGTTTGTAGTGGGATTGAAATTGAAGGTGAATTTTTATATTTAATATAAAAAAATATTTGTATATATTGTATATAAATAAATGTGTGCAAAACGTCAAATTAAATACTATTTACAGAAAATTCATCCAGCATTATTGTTAAATGTGATTATTTCCTTTGGCATTTGATTCGAAACCTACGATAAATGTTGCGGATATATCGTAAAGTTTATTTGCAGTTACTGTTTCTATTACGTACTGTTTCGCATTCGTAATTACGGAAAATACATATAAAAGCGTCGTAATGCTCAATGAATTTTAATAAGTATAGTGGATGAGAGTGAGATTCCAGTTGACTCCAGAAAAGGCAGAGTTGTGATAGGCGCCAGCCTCGAAGAACTAGTTACTGTAACGGGAAAACGTTTCTTTTTCCTTTCTGTGCGACCATGCAACTTAACCGCTTCTACAACAGCTTTGTTTTCTGTATGCTGTCACAGCTTATATTCCGATAAAAATAAAAGAAATGTATAAGAAGAATAAATCCTTCTCATCATTGTCCACTATTCCTTTTACATTATTTGTGATTCACATCTACATGTACGGTAAATAGGTACAAGATACAACAGAAGTAAAATTTTTTAAAAAGTTTTCAAACAATAATTTTCTGTACTCTAAAATCTCTAGAAAAAGTGAAAGTTACATATTTTACACTAAATGTGGATTAAAAACCAAGTATCTCGTATAAATGCGAATGTGAGTTTGTTTGTCTGTCCAGAAAGAAAAATACTTTTCCCGACAGATAGAAAAATTAGTTTTATGTGGTCGATTTCACGCCTCAACTATCGATCATCATGAAATTTTGTAGACAAATTGTCAGAGACTTTTCTTGATAGAGAAAAAAAAAGTTGTAGTCCATTTAACATCTTAACTACTCAATCGATCATCATGAAATTTTGTAAATACTTGCCAGGGGTGTAGAAAATGGGGTACCTTTTACCTAGAAAAAAGAAATACTGTTCCCGAGGGATAGAAAAAAATTAATTTTATATGGTCGTCAATGATCTTTGACACTTATTTAGGACATTAAAATGTATGTTTCGCTAACATTGACTTCAATTTACTTACATTTTAATCATGGCCGCGGCCACTTTCAAAAACAAAGACGTTTGGAGGCATTGGATCCTTACCAGCCCACAAAGTAGTTGATTATAATAAATTAGAAAAATAATCAATATAGTTCATTTTCCATCTGCCCAATTTTTATAAACTGCTAACACTCAAAAGATGGATGAAAAATTATAACGTTTGTGGCATTTTCATATACATAATATCTCTCAATCTCTTTTTGCATTTCTAACTGCTAGATTTAAACAAAATAAAGCGAAAGTAAAATTTTGAAGCTACAATTTTTATTGTTGTAAATAACAGAAGTGAACAAAAAATCCCCAAAATTATTGAAAATTGGATTACCGAATTTAATATGGGTGCCTTAATTTCATCACAAAATAACTACCACGCATGATTGACATACGAATCACTATATTATCAAATGCTTCTGTCTTGAAAAAATTGGAGCTATTTGTTCCCTGAAATATTCTAAATAGCAATGTTTGATTTCTATTACTATTAAAACGAACTTAAGCTGCATGTAAGTACCTTTACATCCACTATACAGTAACAGACTACAGTATCGTAAGTTTCATGTATACCTACAATGTACACGTCGACTATTTCATTCATAAAACTAATATAAGATGCCAGTTTGCGCAACAAATGTTAGTCATGCGCTAGTAATAGTAGCCGACTTATACTTAAAAAATTCATTGTAGTAAACGTTATTGCATAGAATAATTTATGTATTTACAAACATAAACGAATAAAACGTATAATTATAAATAATTTATTTGCAATTAATAAATTCTTATGTGTAGGATGAAACTGCAGCCTATCTATTTTTCACCTTGAATATTTACCGTGTTGATTTTATTGAGTCCTTTTATGGACAACTCTTAGACGATTGCTATGAGCTATACTCTTTACTGGAGAATCATGGATATACCCATAGTAAATATTATATAAGTATAAAAAAAATTATGAGTGCTGTCAGCACAAGGTAAAGTAGTATTACGTAAATGAAAGTTAATATCAGCAATTTCTTATGCTGAAGTGTACGATGTGTTGCATACCTATTTACAAACAATTCCTATAAATTTTAATCATTAAACATCAGTGACAATGCGACAACAATTGAAAAAGAATGATGGCCGACAACAGTAACAATTAGAAAAGAATGATGGCCGATACTACGTTATAGTATTGCTCACAAAAGTGAATTTCGACCACTCGAAGCAATGATGCTAACAGTTGTGAGCTTACAGTGACTGGAGATAGGAGAACTAGTACTAACAAAGAAAAAATAGGATTATAACAATGAATACAGCAATTTCGAATACAACGCCGATTTCAGGTAGGTTAGACCAATTTCTGCATATTGTTTTGTTCCCGAGATATAGATGAAAATGTCTAATGAACTATTATATTCCACGTGTTTTTTACGGAAAAAATACTGACTTCTAATTTTAATAAACTCAATTTACGAGAACAATATATGCCAATTAAAAATAAAAATTCGAATAAAAACAGGCTATTAA